GTATTGGCATAAGCTGAGAAAAACCTGGATTTCTGCTGGATCAGCCCAGGGAGCAGTGAGAGGAAAAAGGGCTGGGACAGCGTTCTTGGCTCCTGGAGATCCGTGCCAGGAGCTTTTCCCAGGATTTGGGAAGGGCCGTGTCGGTGAAGTTCACCCGGAGCCGAAGCTCCTCGTTCCGCCCTGTGGGAAAGCAAATTCCAACGCTGCTCTTCCCCGTTTTTTAGGAATACATGGATCCCATGAACGAGTACAACGCCCTCAACGAGGCCAAGCAGATGATTGCAGTGGCAGATGAGAATCAAAACCACCACCTGGAGCTGGAGGAGATCCTGAAATACAGCGAATATTTCACCGGCAGCAAACTCATGGACTACGCCCGCAACGTCCACGAGGAATTCTGACCCTGCTCGCTCCTCCAGAGCTCTCAAGCACTTTCTGGCTTTCAAAAAAAAAAAAAGAGAGAGAGAGGGGGGAAAAAAAGGAATAAATCCAAGCCCCCAAAACAGACAGAAAGTTCCTTTGCTGCTAATCTGTGTCCTTTGCCTCCGGTGTGTTGTCCCAGACTTCCAACCTTCCGTCCGTCCACGGGATCTTGCTGCCTTTGGGGTGAGGGGAAACCAGGCCAGGAAGAGTGGGAGAGGTCCTGGAATGCCTCAGTTCCCCCTGGATTGGGCAGGAATTCCAGCTGAAGTTCGGCAAATGGTGTTTGGGGGAGGCTTCTGAAATGTTTCACTCGTTGCCCTCGTAGCTGCTGATCCCTGGGAATCCCAGATAACAGGGAGATGTGGGGTTTTTGGGAAGGGAGTGGCGGTTCCAAGGCGTGTTCTGACCTCCTGGGAACACCCACGGGATATTCCACTGATCTCCCAGTGTTTTCTCAGCCTAGTTGGGAATTTAATCCAAGTTTTCCCCCCATCACTCAATTATCCTTCAGGACCGTGGGGAGGAATTCATTTTAAAGGTTCCACAGAAGCTTTTTTGCGTCTACCTAAAAATAAACCTGGTTGTAGCACGACAGGCTTTGTGTTGGGGGGAGATGGGGGAGAATTCAAATTATGGCTGGAAAAAAAAAAATCAGATTTTTGCTCTAAAACGAAACCAAGGGGGGAAAGTTTCCCAGAGCAGTGGGATTGCCCTGAGGGGTGTGATGGCTCCTGGACTTAAAACTCCCTGCTCAGACTGGGAAAATCACTTGTCTCTCTGCAAATTGGAGCTGAACTGCAGGTGCTGAAGGGGAGGAATTCCAGGCTTTGCTTGGGAAGCCCTTGGATCAGCCTGGCTCTGGGTAAATCTCGGAGAGCATCTTGGCTCACGTCCACTCCTGCAAAAATAGAACAGTTATTTTTACTCTGGTTCCATCTTTACTGTAAAGAAAAAGAAAACCCCTCTTTCTGAAGGGTTCCTGCAAGTGAGATGTTATATTTGATTAAATTTATTCTCTTAATATAATGTAAATATAAGTGTTGCTGGTTCTGTTTCACTCTTCCTTCTCTTTATTCTTTATTTTTTTGTTTGTTTGTTTTATTAAATGGCTTGTATAAGAGTCTTTTTATATCCATATCTCTCTTTTTTCTTTTTTTTTTTTTCCCTATTAAATATTTTTCTCCCTTTGGAAACGGTGCTGGGTTCAGGTTTGTGGGGAAAAACGAAACCCTTGGGAAGAGAGAAATTAAAATACAATTTTAAAAATGGAAGAGAGGGATAAATTCCATTGATAACCTCTCATTAAAACGAGCTTAAAGACAGAAATTTTAGTAATATCTGTTGATAAATGTATGTCCTGAACTTTAGCTGTTAATATATGCCAAGATCATTAAAATTTGGGAATTAGATGATGCTTAAACCACCTTAATTAACCTGACAACATGAGCAGGGAACCCCTTGGAAAAGGGATCCACGAGGTTATTTCTGGCTTGGAATGTTAGGTTCAAACTATTCCAGTTCGTCAGGAAACTTCTTTTTAAGAATTCAGGTATTTTATCTGTGTTTTTCTATTTTGTATTTGATATTAATAATTTCTGTTGGGCTCGGGATGATCCCGAAATGGGCAGAGCTTTGGCTGCTCCCTGCCTGCAGTGAGCAGGGAAAGGGGACTTTTGGAAAGAAAGATTTCAAGCTCTAACTTCTTTTCCATAGGGGTTGTCTTCCCAAATCCTTGGAAAAACGGGAGAAGTAGTAAAACAGTTGCTGTTTTGCCTCTCCCAGAAATTTAGGAGAGAAAAGAGAAAGCGGCAGCTCCGGATAAATCCCACCGTGACGTCGCCGTTCAGCCTTCCCAAAGCCTGCAGGAAAACTGCAATTCCAGAATTCCTGGCCTTCCAAGCAAGTCTCCTCGGCACCTCTGGATGTGACTTGGGAAGCCTGGCTGTGGTTTTTAATCTAAATTAAGCCTAAATCAGAGATTTGCTCCCTGTGGGACGTCTTCGCTCCAGTCTCGGGAAGCCCGAAAATTTCATTCCTTGCCCAAAGGAGTCAAATTCTGAGAGACCAAACAATTAAATTTAATAATTCTTAAGGTGTTCCCTGCTTTTTCTGCCTGTTGGTGTCGGGTGGGGGCACGGCTGCGATGCCAGGGAGCTGCTCAGCCTCTTCCATCCCTGCTTTTCCTGCTTTTTCCTGGCGTTCCCAGCCTGGCCTTTGCCGCTCTTTTGGAGTCGCCACGTGGAGAGCTAAGAATAGAAACCTCCTCAAAATGCAATTCAGCATCTTACCTTCCTGCCTGTGAATCTTTTCGGTGATGAACTTCACAAAAAAAAAAGAAAAAAACCCTCCCCGGGGCTCGGGGTGGTGTGGGAAGAAGGAAAGGGGGGGGTGGGAAGAAGGAAGGGGGCGTGGAAAACTCGCCGGGAATTTCCCAGCGCCCGAAATATCAATTTGCTCTGGTGGCCCCGGGGCTGCGAAATCGCTTCTCCCCGAGCACCCAAACCGGGCTGGGATGGTTATGGCACGTCCAGGGGGGAATTCTCCTGCTGTTTTCTTGCTCCTGCTGGTCGCTGTTCCCAATTCCCGGGGATTGGAATGCAGGGAACGCCAATATCCGTACCGGGATAAATGCTGCAGCGACTGTGCCCCGGGTAAGTCGGGTTCTCTGGGAAATCTTATTTATTCTATCAAATATATAAATGTGTAAACCAGCTTTCTAGGAATATTTCAGGATATCAGGATTTATTTCAATGTATACAAGGATATATTTAAGGCTGGAGGAAGGATAACGTAGAGAAAATTTGGCGAGGAGCTTTTTTTCTTTCTATAACATGAAATCAGATAAATCCTTCTATGGCATAAAAAATCTTTCAGATTTTTTTTTTCTTTCTGTAACATACAAAATTTAGGAATCTGCCTTTTATTCTCTAATTTCTGTGTCACTAATGTGTCAGTCAAGGGCGTTTTCACTTTGGGAGTGTTGTCAGGAAAAAAAAAAAGTGGTGGCATTTGTGTTATTGTCCTTTATCACATAAAGAACCTCAGAAGTCTCAGATAACAACAAAAATTTCTAATTCTGTTGCTAAAGATGGTTTTTTTAAGCTTTTTTCCTTTGTGGCAGAGTTTATATTACTCCTGTTACTGGTGGGTTTTTTAAGGGGAAAAAAAAATCAATGTTCTTGGATCACAGAGATCAGCAAAGTGCAACAAGGTGAGTTTTTTTTTTTTTAAAGAAAAATACTTGATTCACTGGGCTAAAATCAGCCTTTAATCTTAAGTTTTGAGGCAGTTTGTGGCGTTATTCTCAAAATTCTTTAGAATCTGAGTGTTTGTGAACTCAAGGCACGTTTGTGGGCAGAGACAGATAAATAACACTTTATCTCTCACATTTTCTTCCCCCTTAAACTGAAAAAAAACCCTCTTATCAGGTTTTTGCATTGTTAGAAAATGTGCTGCTGTTGGGGAAACGTTTCTTCACAGTCTCTTCCTCTTGTAGATAGTAAAAATGTCATTTATTGCACATATTATGCTCCCTAATAATCCTAATTTTGCCACTCAGCCCTCAATAAAACAGAATTAGAGTGAGCAAGAACCTTGATGCTCATTCACCTGCAGGCGGGAAAATGGGGAAGCAAAATGAAGGGAACAAGCATTTTTGTCCCTGTTTGGGGTTATTTGGGCTGAATTGCATTATTTATGTATAAATATATATATTTAACTCCTGAAGGAAGGCAGGTTCTGTCACAAAGCCATTGTACTACACTGGAAGTCAAACTTATTGCTGTGCTAAAACCCTGCTTTTTTTCCTGCCTCTGCCTGCAAACTGAGATGCCCAAACCCTATGGAAAAGTGGTCTGGGGAAGGGATATTTGGGATCTACTGGGAGAATTATTTGGGGCACAAAACCTCAGCCTTTTTTCCTGCTGCTGGCTGCAAACTGAGATGTCCAAACCACATGGAAAAGTGGTCTGGGGAAAGGGATATTTGGAATCTGCTGGGAGAACCATTTGGGGAATGAAACCTCAGCCTTTTTTCCTGCTGCTGCCTGCAAACTGAGATATCCAAACTCTATGGAAAGGTGGTTTGGAGAAAGGATATTTGGGATCTCTTGCGAGAATTATTTGGGGCACGAAGCCTCAGCCTTTTTTTCCGGGCACTGGCTGCAAACTGAGATGTCCAAACCCTATGGAAAGGTGGTTTGGAGAAAGGATATTTGGGATCTGTTGGGAGAATTATTTGGGGCACGAAGCCTCAGCCTTTTTTTCCGGGCACTGGCTGCAAACTGAGGTGCCCAAACTACGTGGAAAAGTGGTCTGGAGAAGGGATATTTGGGATCTGCTGGGAGAATCATTGCCTCAGTTCTCAGGCCCTTTTTATCCCACTTCAGCTGCTCATTCCCAGTGCTGTGGGTCAGAGTTTTTTGGGATGCTGGGATGTCTAAACCCGCCGAGTGTTCTCAGGCAGAGCTGGAAGTGGGACCGTCACACTCAGGGTATTGTTTTGTCCTAATGGATGAAAATGCATTACCCTGTGAAAATGAAAATCCTAATTCAGGGGGGAAAATGGGGGGGGAAAAGAGGGTTTTGTGGTGATCCCAAGCAGCGTGTGCTCTGTGATCCCTGTTTTAGGGGAGAGGATGAGGAACCGCTGCACGGCCACGGCAGACACGGAGTGTATCCCCTGCCAGGATGAATATTTCAGCAGTGAGCACCACCACAGCTTCTGCAACAGCTGCACAGTCTGCAACACCAGTAAGGCACTGGCAGGGGGGCATTTCCTCCCACAAAGTCAGGAAGAATCAGTCTCTGTTTGCTTTCTCACCTCCCACCCAGAGTCTGGGTTGTGCCAATGTCTGATCCCTCCTGCTCTGTGCTCATGGTGGGGCCTGAAAACCCTGCAGGGTTCTTCTCTGTTCCCTGCAGGTGTTTCCACACACGGTGGGGAATTAATTTGTGTTCTCTCTCAGTGTTATGTCTTGTCTCTCACTTGCTTTTTAATCCTTTTTTTTTTTTTTTTTAGGGAGCGGGAGCGTGGAGGTGAAGAAGTGTGAGAAGACCTCGGACAGGG